TGAGATCCACTAAAGGCAAGTGGCCTCACCTCTGCTTCTTTCCCACAGTACAGACAAATCTTTCTTCCTTCTGACACAAAACTCTTCAAGGAAGAGGCCAGTCCCTAAACCAATCCCTGGAAATTAGCAAATATTTTAAAGAATTGTATAATTCTACTAGAATTCTTTGAAGGGTTTAACAATCACATGGGCAAGAAAGATTCAGTGGACATAATGAACTTTCCAGAAAGCTTTTGAGGAGGTACCTCACCAAAGGCTTTTAAGTGAAGGCTTTTAAGCCTCACCAAAGGCTTTTAAGTGAAGCCATTATGGGATAAGAAAGAAGATCCTCTCATATACTGATTACTGATTAGAAGATAGGAAACAAAGGGTAGGATTAAAAGGTCAGTTTTCAGAATGGAGAGAGATAACTAGTGATGTCCCATGGGACTAATCTTATTCAACATATTCATAAATGATCTGGAGAAAGGGGTAAACAAGTGAGTTGGCAAAAACTGTAGATACAAAACTGCTCAAGATAGTTAAGATCAAATCAGACTGTGAAGAGCATCAAAAGAATCTCACGAAACTAGGTGACTAGGCAACAAAATGACAGATTAATTTTAATGTTGATAAATGCAAAGTAATGCATATAGGAAAACATTATCTCAATTATACATATAATACGACGAAGAGTAAAATAGCCGTTACCACCAAAGATCAAGGAGTCACTGTGAATAGTTCTGTGAATACATCCACTCAATGTGCACCAGCAGTCAAAAAAGGAGAAGGCTACAAATTTATTACAAAAGGTATAGAGAATAATACAGTGAATAACGAATTGCTTCTCTCTAAATCCATGACATGCCCACATTTTGAATAATATATGCAATGTGATTGCTGCATCTCAAAAAAAAAGATATATTAGCACTTGAAAAAGTTCAGCAAAGGCCAACAAAAATGATTAGGAGTGGCTGCCATATGAGGGGAGATTAAGAAGACTGGGACTTTTCACTTTGGTAAAGAGATGACTAAGAGGGTATATGATAGAAGAAAAGTTATTTACTTCCCGCAACACAAGAATTAGAAGTCGCCAAATGAAATTAACAGGTAGCAGGTTTAAAACAAACAAAAGGAAGTATTTCTTCACACAATGCAGAGTCATCCTATGGAAGTCTTTGCCCCAGAATGTTGTAAAGACCAGAATTTTAACATTATTCAAACAAGAGCTAGATAAATTCATGGGGAACAGGCTCATCAATGGCTTTTAGCCAGATGGTGTCCTTAACCTCTGTTTGTCAGAAGCTGGGAATGGGTGACAGGAGGTGCATCCCTTGATTACTAGTTCTGTTCACTACCTCTGGCATTGCCCACTGTTGGAATACAGGATTCTTGGCTAGATGGACCTTTGGTTTTACCCAATATAGCTTTTTTATATTGTGTTCCTATGTACATACGTGAATCGCCTACCCCCCCCCCAAAAAAACCCCCAGAAAATTAAATACAAAGCTACAAAAAATTGTAAAAGTTAGATTTTAGTTGTTCAATAGTGCCAATTAATTCAATATTATGTTTGCCAGAGCAACTAAGTCAGTTAGCTTTTATTTTTTCAGTAGTGATGCATGAGTGATTTTCTTAAGTTTTCAGAGGTATGAAGAAAATGCTAATGAGCTTTTAGCCTGGATTTCTAGTGACTCTACCTAGAAATCTACTTGCAGTAGACAGGGAATATTGCCTACCAAATATGGTATCAGAAACAACTGAATTTTGGAAAGTGACTGATCTAAATATATAGCAATTCACTAAAGGCTCTCCTTCACAAGAAATGCTGTACAGCAAAAAAGCATAACAATTGTTTTTCAGCATCCTATAAGTAAAAATGTATCCAAAACATGGAACTAATTTTGGCCAGGTATTTGGCAGTTTGAAGCAGATTTCTATTATATGCCACTCTTCCTTGCCCTTTTGGCCCACAGCAAATCCTTAATCCCTAGACCAGAAACAGTGCATGCTATGCCTATGAAAATTATTCTTTGATTTTTGTAGTTAATCCATAATCCAACACTGAGAACAAATAGCTGAAGCTCAAGATAGACAGATGTTTTGGTTGTCCTCATTTAGAATTCTTTTCTTAAGTTGCACACAGATGGGAGCACTTGTAGTTTACACTCAGGTCATATATTAAGATGGGAGCTTGTATGTTCAGAATGTGGAATAACAAGCGGATTAATGTACATGCTCAGATAAAATATTAGCATTTTATTGTAAATGCTCTGTCTCCCATTTAGATCCACATTCAGACAGCAATGCCACATGCCTTTTGAACTACATTACAACAGCTGGCACTTATGTGCTATAGCCTTTATGGCCTTTATTGATTCATCAGTACATATTTTTAAATGTCAAATCTATAATAAGAATGTTAAATAGGTAATCCCTAGTGTAGCAGATTAAATTAGAATTCTTCAGTAATGCTGGAAAGATCCTGTTTCATATAGACCTTTAAGTGTTATGGGACTATTTGAAAGTTAGTGGCTTCTAAAAATCTCTTTGAAAGGAAAATGTACATGTCATAAGAGAAAGATATGAGGCAATCACACTTGACAGTCAACAAGACAGAACACAAGCAATTAATAAAACACAGTGGTTCCTGGGAAAGTAATCTTGGCATAGTACATACAATTATCACATGCAGAAAAGAGAATTTTATAAAATGCGTGATTTTAAACCTTATGGATTAAAAGTTAACTTTAAGAGGTTCTTACAAGTATTACTAATGCCTAGTTAACACTTAAGATACTTCTTTTTATTCACAGATTTCAAAAGTCCTTCAGAAAGGAGAATGTGTTAATACCAGTAGCTCCCAGTTTACATATGAAGAAACTGAACCACAAAGAGGTTTCAACTTGCCATATTATTATAACTTGTAATGCTACAGTGCCTAGGAACCTTGTTCATGGACCAGAACCCCATTGTGATAGGTGCTGTGTAACCATAGAACAAAAAATCATCTCCTGAACCAAAAAATTAATTCTAAATAGTCCTACTTTGATAAAGAGAATACAGGTTTCCTGATTCTCAGTTCTAGTCTCTACCTTCTGGTTCACACTGATGAGACAAAAAAAAAATTCTTCTGGACTGGAAAACTTGTATTTTAAGTACTTCAGTCAATCCAGTGGTTAAGCCCAGAGGCTATAGAGAAATAGGGGAGTAGTGACACATTGGATAAGCTATCTCAAGGATGACTTCTGAAGGAATGGAACAGTTAAACAACCTCACAGAGGAGAAAGCAAATGTCCACTTTCAGACCACATTCTGTCTGAATATCTCCTGAGAAGCACCATGAATTCTCCAAGGGTCATTAAGAGTTATGAATTCCTTAATTAACATTTATTCTTCATGTTAGAATTAGAGCTGTAGAACAGATTGAGTGATATGGCTACAGGTGAGTATTTAATATCCTATGGATTTGCTTTTTAAAAACCTATTTGACATTTAAGCTCTAGTTTAAGAAAACCAAAAGTGATTTCTATAATGATGGGGAATGGTTTTTGGGGAAGGGATTTTTTTTCATTTGTCAGGTAAGTAGAGGGAAGGAGGTCTCTGTTCACAAAGGGTGTAATTGGAATCTTGCAAGGTGCAAAGAGGTTGTACAAGAATAAAGTTTCATACTACAATAATTTAACAGTTCCATTAATATTGGTCTTTGATAACCATTTTTGGAAGGATGGAGGCCACATAATTCAACTCTCAAAATGACACCATTCTTTTAAATAATTTCTAAGTACATTAGATGATTACCTATAAGAAAAACTCATTCATTCACTGACCCATTTAATGTAACCAGATAGAAATTTTGCAGGGAAACAGGCTGTGTATTACATTGTATTTTTTTAAGTCAGATTGCCTGTTTTAATAATCAATGGTTTCTCTTTGTAAAAGTTTTGTAGGATGACTTCCATTTCAACTAATACTTTATCATTCCTAGTACTACTGAGTAAAGGGACCAAAAGATAATTTTTATGGTGAAAAGAAAATAGAATTTGAAAAGCAACAATCAAGTGCCAGTGTGATCTACCAAAAATATTTCCTAGTATTTTATTTCATTTTCTAGATATAAAAATAAAACTTATAGTTTTTCACTATACATAAATAGGAACTGAATAAATTTTTTTTTCCCCATTCAAAAATCCATTATATATGAAAGAAAATTTCCCATAAAGCGGAAGTCATTTATTAGAAACAAACAAAAATTAACAGTTATTCTACTTTTTCCATAGATTTAATACATCCTCCCATAATAAGCTTGCTACCTGGTGTTAAAGGGACATTCTGAGAAGTTTCCCGTGTTTTTCACAGCCATATTAGTTAGAAGCTAGGCACAGGGCAGATGAGTAAAGGAAGTACTATGAAAGATACCTTTGCTTTCAAGATCATCACTGAAACAAACCTTCAACACCATTCGCAAAGAAAATACTACCATCAAAATAGTACAAATTTATAGCTTACACAAATATAAGAGATTATACATGCAGAGTGCTTGCTAGTAAAACCTCCGTGGTTTACTGAAATTTCTAAGGTGGCTATACAGAGAAGAGGCAAAAACACTATTGCTATGTCTTGTAATTGTACTATGACAATTGAAAACGGCAAGTCAGCATTTTGGGTGCACAATTAAAGTAACCAAAGATGAATTTTATATAATTTGGCTTGCTCAGAGTTTTCTATAAGAAATATTCACAGAAGAGTAGCTGAACTCAATCATTACATCCATCCCTTAAAGATTAAATAAACTTGTTCATAACTTCAAACTCCCTCATCTTCATGTTGCAAACTTCAAGTTCAAAAGTTAAAAAAAAACTAATTTTGAACAGTGTTATTTCCTATAAACAAATATTTATAATCAACATTAAAATGAAAACACACAAAATTAAGCTTTGGTTACAATGAACAGCAATGATAGAGGGCAAAAAAAAGGGAAAACAACCGCTTGTAATCATGTCATGTTCTTATCTTTGTAGGCTTTCATATCGGACTGGTCAAGACACAGCTAATTGTGACACATGCAGGAACAGTGCATGTATTATCTATAGGTAGGTTAAACATTCTAATATTCCCACTTTTTATTGAGTGAAAGAAATGATTTTATTCACCAATGCAAGATCAAAGGTTAGTCACTATCATAAACTGGTATTTCACTGAGAAGGAAGGAGAAATAAAAGACCAGGAAATTAATCTGTATTTTACTATAAAATTCAATGAATAAAATATTTTAATATTAATACTAACATACAGGACATGCTTATAAGTCCAGGAATTAAGCAGGTTCTTTTGCCTCTGCTTTGCAAGTTTAACTAGCTGTTTTTAGCTACACACTGTGACCTGAAGGGTTTTAGCTTAATCTTATGCAATTTTACAGCATTACTCTTGTTCAGGAAAAATATCCAAAAATCCTAGGGTATATCTACACAGCAGTGTTATTTTGGAAAACTGCTGGTATTCCAAAATAACGAAGTATATCTACACTATAAGCCTTTATTTTGAAATAATGTCAAGCTGGAGAACTTCTTACTCTGACTCAGGGTAACCATCATTTCACGAAGAGTAAGAGAAGTCAAAGGAAGAGTGTTCTTCCTTCAACTTCCTGCTGCGTAGATAGCTTAATTTGGCTTTTGGTGCTATTTTGAAATAAGTTACGAAATAAATATAGCTGAAGTTGTGTAGTTTAATTCAATTTTAGCCCTGCTGTGTAGATGTACGCCTAAAGAAGACACTGAATGTAGTGGAACAGGTGCAACTGCAGTGCACTTGAGGAAACAGGCTGGGTTTCTAATACCTATGTACCACACAGCTAATCTTCGTGGGAGGTGTCTCTGGAGCGGCCATAGAAAGAGCTTTGGCAGTCATTGAATATGCATGTACCTATATTAGTAACTATTACATCTCTAGAGTAGAGAAGGGAAGCTGTATGCAATGGCTGTGGAGCAGCTCTGTATGCCTCATTTACATTGGTTGTAATGCTACCCTTTACCTACAAAAATACTTCAGATTTTAAAATCAAACCAGTACAATAAGAGAGGAGTTTTCACTACTCCCAGCTCTCAAACTAAATATCACCTAAAATTAGACAAAGCAAACAAACTTTGCCTAGTACTAGAAATCACTTGAAATATTTTTTCCAAACAAAAACCCTTCATGAATTAATGCAAACATCATACTATTTATCAGGATTGCTATCACCAAAGGGTAACGGTTAATGTTCCATGGAGACGATTAAGAAGCAAACTTTCTGCCAAGAGTGATATATGAAAGTCTACAAGTTTCTGCACAAAATCCATTAAATTTGCATTGCAATGTATGTTTTATGTAAAGTTTTTCAGAAAAAAAAACCCTGTACTTCTAGTGGTTGCCACTTCAGATTAACTTCTAAAATGAATTATTCTATATTTAATGCATCATTTATGAACCTTTTGTGTAAGTGTTAAGATCATTCTTAACCATCATAAGATTCATCATTTATTTCCCAGTTTTATGATATACAAGTAAAATTGGATTAACAGTGTACTCCCCTGATGTCAACCTCTACCAAGCATTAATACTGGTGGGTTTCACTTCAATATTGCTGGGGGTATATAGAATTCTCTGTACTATGGATTCAGCAAATATTTCAGAAAAGCTATTCATAGCAATCATGCATTAGGATAGAGCAAGTAGTCCTAGACAGACCTTATAGCACAGATCATAATACAATAGACATGCACTAGTTATAAAAAAATGACATTTCTACACCAAGCACACTGTACTACAGATCAAATACACAGAAGTCCAGATTAAAGCATATCTTTCTATCCTAACTTGAATAGCACAGCTAACTTCATTAGGATAAACTTCTGCATGTGCTTGTAGATGGTTAACAGTGGTGCCACTCACATGCTTCACATTAAATATTTGGTTGTTTACAAAATCACAGCCTATTTGAATAAAATAAGCAGAATTTTCTGGCATCAGAGCAACTGATGGACAGACACAAAATTGGCTATGAAATTTACAACTTTCTTTACCAGAACCTTTAACATGAGATGTGAATTTTGTAACGGCAAAGAAGGTTCTAAGTTTATTGTAACACTGGATTTTTTTTAGTCGCTAGAGAGAAATCAGTGTGCACAATTTGTAAACATGCATTTCATATTATACCTCCAAGACAAGCTAAATGTAAAATTGTGGAAGATAGGTACGCAGTAAATTCAGACTAGCTCAAATTCCGCAGGCTATCATATTGCTTTGCTGAACAGCTAAAGCCAGTCTACTCTATAATGAAGTGCTCCAACAATCAATGAGTGTGACGGAGCTACGTCATGACTTTTAAAAGTTGTTTTATAGTGCCAATCCAGTTGTTGTCATTTCACTGCAGTGAAGGTGACATGAAACCATTGGCTGTTTTTATGTATTGCAAATAAAATGAAAAATCAGTATGTTTCAGAATTAAATGTATCATCTGATCAAGAATTTTTCTGGCCCCTAGTCAGGAGATGCTTATGAAAATTATTTCAGGGATCTATGTTCAAATGAAAATATGCAACAAGTCTATTATGAGACTGACCGCTTTTTACACTCCTTCAGCCATGCTGGCAAATATCAACCTCATTTCTCTATGTAGTCCTGCTCAGATTTTGACAAAATGGAGGAGCTGGAACTATTTACTCAGTACTCACTCCCTCCAAATAAGTGACTGGGCAGAGAGCCACAGTCCCCAACTCCCCCTTCTCTACTCATCAGCTACCTGAAATCATACACTGGCCCCTTCTCCGGAAGAGGCATGCTAATTTAGAACTTTGGAATAGGGAAATCTGCGGGGGATTTAAATATCCCCCGCGGGATTTAAATAAACATGGCTGCCGCTTTTTTTCCGGCTTGGGGAAAAGGGCTTTATTCTGGAGGATCGCGCCAGTCTGGACGCTCTTTTCCAGCTTTTCTCCAAGCCGGAAAAAAAGCGGCGGCCATGTTTATTTAAATCTCGCAGGGGATATTTAAATCCCCCGTGGATTTCCCTATTCCAAAGTTCTAAATTAGCATGCCTCTTCCGGAGAAGGGGCCAGTGTAGACGTAGCCTTGGTGAAAAGAGGGTGGCAAGGAAGCTGCTATATGAAGTAGAGCAAATTATGTATTCCTCCTTTCTGCAAGGGGGGAAAGGAGGAAAAAGGTGTAACCAACTCAACCACAATTTGCCCTCAGCTCTGGAGGCTGGGCAGCTATGCACCATCCCCTTCTCAAAGCTGACTATAAAATTACATTCCAGCCTTAAATGATTCAGATATCTGATTTCATTTTACCTGTTACAAAAATAAGAAAAATTAAGACAGCACATACAATGTTTATTTCCAAGACAGTTCCAACCACTTAGTAACTCAGTTTCATGTGCAACTAAGAACCATGAGCACATACATAATACTGTAGTGCAATATAACAATAAGTAGTACTGCACATTATAGTCAGTGTACATCTACTTGAATTAACAATTATGCTTCCAACTCTGTGGACAGACAGGCTGTAGAAGAGGCATCTCAGATCCAAGAAATTTAGCAGATTACAATGTTTATGGAGCAAAGGTTTGAAGAACAAAATGGCAGGTTCTGTAAGTAGACTCCGCTTGTCAGGGCATGTCCAGCTCCCATTAAAATCAATAGATGTCATCCTACCAGCTTCAATGGGAACTGGATCAGGACTATATTGTACACGTTCATTCTTCTACATTGTACAATCTAGTTCAGGTGTAGCAGAAGTTAGCAGAATGACATCCATTGAAGTTAGCTCACACAGATACTCTCTTTCACATTACATCCATTATATTATAACTACATGAAATTAATATAGAAATGTATTTTAAAATGTTTCATTACAGGTGGTTCTGGTAACTTTCTAAAGTGGCTTGAAGCTTCCTATGATAAGAACCTGCTTTCAGTTGCTTGTAACTCTGCCTAATTTTGATCATTTGAGCTGAAATTTTCAATGACCGGCAACTGTCAGACTAAAGTTTCAATAAAAATTCTTCACCTGTTTCAGAGAACACAATTAGGGGAAAATCTGCAGGCTGTGCAAGAAAACTGAGAGGGGAGGACTGAGATCACATGAGTAGCCCAGAAGGAAAGGGGGAAGCAGAGTGGCTGAACAAGACTGAGATTTGGATCTGTTAAGAGGAGGGGGGAAACATGCACTTAGCCAAAGAGCTGGGAGAGGGGATGGAAGAAGCACTGATTAGAGATAGGATACAGAGGAATAGGAAAGACAGGGTCAGGACTGAGTTGAGAAAAAAGGAGGAGGAGAGTCTATGACCACTGGAGAACACTTGGCCTACCAGAACCTGAAATGGAAGCCAGTATTCATGTCAACATTCCTCTGTCAGCAAATATCTGTGAAAGCTATTAGCAAAATGTGTCTCGTCCCCTCTAGTGCTGGTCCACAGAAAAGATGAAAACCTACTATTGTGATCACTTACTCAGCTAACTCAAGTGGTGGAGTTTGTGTGGTGGATCTAAAGTTTCCAACTCTGCTTGTGAACCTCCTGCAGTGGCAATATGATTCCAGCTAATGAGTTTGTTTTTTAAATCTACAATATTATACATAAAAATGTATGTTAAAAGAATATTAAGGTTGCACACAAGGTAAAGCCAGATTCAGAAGATAGGAAATAGCAGAATAAAATGGGTGTTTAATGTCCATTTGCCCCCTTTCAGTGACTGCATTATGAAACAGTCTCTAATTACATGAACACATCCCCCATCACCTCTTGTCTCGTTCAGTTAACAGTATGTGTTGGGGATGGATTCTGTAGTGAAGGGGTCTTGTCTTTGGGGCATCGGTCTCATCTGTTATAGAAGTTTGAAGTGTAGTGACTGAAATGGAACTACACCAAGAAAAAAAAAAAGATTAAAACAGCTGATTTGAGAACTGGATTATTCTTGACCATCCACAGAGTTTGAGTGTCACTGGAACAAAATTTCCAAACATTTCACAGGTGGTCACTAATTGAGTGTTCCTCATTTTCTTGGTGCCTGACTTGAGCCCCTGGGATCTAATTTATAGAGTGCTGAACAGT